CAAAGGAAGGGCAACCACGTCATTGAGTAAATGGATGTCCTCAAATTTCATTGAATGAAAGAGAAATTTCTTGACTGATGTTGCCACTACCGTGGAAATGGAAGAAATTCCTAGAGAGCTTGTCCTCAAATGGGACCAGACTGGGATCAGATTGGTCCCTTCTTCTACTTGGACAATGGAAAGGAAAGGTGAACGTCGTGTGGAAATGGTCGGAGTTAATGACAAACGACAAATTACTGCCATATTTTGTGGCAATGCTATGGGAGATTTCCTTCCAATTCAATTGATTTATAAGGGAAAAACACCTCGTTGTCATCCTCGGTTCAAATTCCCCACTGACTTTAATGTGACACACTCGCGTAACCATTGGTCCAATGAGGATACTATGATTGAATACATCGGCAATATTATTCTGCCTTATGTAGCTTGTGTAAGGGAGCGACTCAATACTGATAGTGCTGCCCTTGTAATCATGGATAATTTTAAAGGCCAAGCTACACCTAAAGTCATTCAATACTTGCAAGACAATAATATCCTTATCTCATGGCTTCCTCCCAATACCACAGACCGGCTGCAACCTATGGATCTGTCAGTGAATAAGCCAGCGAAGGTATATCTGAAAAACAAGTTTGATGAGTGGTATTCTGAAATGGTGACCCAGCAATTAGAAGGCAAGGATATTGAAGACCTAGAAGATTTGGAACTCACACCTGTTGATCTAGGGATGCCAGTCCTAAAAGAAATATCAGCGAAATGGTTTGTTGAGATGTTTCAATACATGAGTGAAAACCCACAGTTCATTGTTAATGGTTTCGTTCATTCTGGAATTAGTTCAGCGATAGATGGAGTCATTGATATGGGATCAACAGAAAGTAAAGGAATTAGTGATACTGATGATACAACCGATGAAGGTAGTGAAGAAACTAGTGATATTGATGATGATACCGTAACTAGTAGCAAGAGGGATTTAGAGGACACCTCAGATGATGATGATGAATAATGGAAACATGCATGATTAAACTCACTACTATGATGACTACTATACTGACCTATTGTCAACTTATGTTTTTATTAAATATATAAAAAGAGTTTCATACTTGACTAATAATAATAATAATTATTATTATTACAATTATACACATACACTTAGAATAAGCTCAAATCTGTAGACAATTTGATCAATTTCTTGATTTCTTGAGCCTCACCGTCAAATATAAGTAAGCAAGGGATCTCTAATCCCCCTTGAGGAAGGTCTGAGGAGTGTCTTCGCCTGCCAGTTGGTCGACAGGTGATGATTCCTCCCCTTCTAATAAATAGTGAACAAAGCCGAGATATTTTTTTAGGTAGATGTCCTACAACTACGCCATCCTTAATGACTGATACAGCATACATATCAGCAGCATTAGTCGGGTCTCTTTCACAGTGAAGGTTTTCACCGACAACAACGTCCCATATGTCGAGGTAGACATGATATCCTCGCACACACGACTCTACCTCAAAAGACTCCATCTTTTATTATGCTACTCTTTTTAATGCCCACCGGACTGTAATATTGCACTGCTATGGTTTAATTTTAACCATGCTTAATTTTCACCACTAGCCATCCCGGCGAAAATTAAACACGCGAAAATTTCTCTGGCAAAAATAAATCTACATGAAAATTTCCCGATCTACGGTAGATAGTCAGTGTACAGCTATC